TTATAATACATTATGGAAAGACAATAGAAAAGTATCAATCTATTTAATGTGTTTAACGATAAATAATATCCATGAGACTGTTATTCCGTTACCGGTTATTAAACGTATTATACTATGTTAATCAGCATATCTACCCATCTCGTCACAATATATCTCTACATTTTAATTAAAACGTATCGTATTAATCGTCTGACCTTTTCTGATCGAGCATGTCGAGAAAGGATTGAATTAATGATGACGACCTGGTCGAGAACCATCCATCAAAAGAAACCCTTTTTTTTTTCTTTCGTAAATTACATTAATTTCAATCATTCGAAAGCACACTTATTAACGATTTCCTCTTCACAGTATATAACATCAGATACATCATTATATGTTTAATTATTTACCTCGCTTGATTTCAGGTCTATCATTGATCATCTTTGAGGGCGTGAGAGTTTAAATAGCGATCATATAGTATTAATATTAACGAAGGACGAACAATATTATTCGTACTTTCTAATGCATATGGTATTGTCGACGGAAGAGGATGAATCGTCCATTTGCGGAAATAAACGCCCTCGTGCACGAAACGCAAAACGAAACAGTTCCGGTCAACGTCCCTAAGCTATTACTAATGATGATATACGTATTTTGTTGATGTGATGTTTGATTTTTATGTTTGGTCAAGATACAAAATTTTAATCAAAGTAATTATTTAGATTTATATCTTTTGAATTTTATTAAAAAGGTTTCAAGATTATTAATATTAATAAAAATCGTCGCGATTTCACCCGATTTTTTCAATAATCTCTTGTTTGCTTTTCCTCTCGTATAGTGTTACAGAAGGAAGGGACGAAGCTTGGAAAACATATCCGGACGTAACCAATGAATATCCGCAATTTTCGTGTAAAGAAAAGAAGAGAGGAAAAAAGAAAGAAGAAAAAAAAAGAGTATATTGGTACTCGAGAAGCGAAAGGAAATATCCATGGTCCGGTCACATCAGGTTGCATAATGCGAACCCTCTATGGCTGTTTACTTAGGGCGAAATGTGGTTTGTTCCTTCCGTGACAGGCTACATGTTAAACCATCCCCCTCATGAGAGGATGAAACCTCTTCGTAAAATCTTACGATCTCTCTATCCTATCCGAGGTTGTAAAAATCCTTCGACTATCATCTCACGCGTCGATAATGAGATAATATAAAAAGGAGACAAGGATTGCTCGTTTATTGGTAATTTCTTACTTGAGCGATATTTACTCTCTATACTTAATTCGGATGTTGACCCATATTGGAAATTGCCAAGTATTTTTTTATTCTCTTGTGCATTTATAGTAATCTTCATTATATCTTCATTTTCATAAATGAAAGTACATATTTTTTAATTTTATGTATTTAATTAAATAGTGAATTTGATAAAAAATAAACTTTTCATTTCAAATGAAATTATTAGAATTTAATTCTTCAATAAGATTTTAAAATTTATTTTATTTTTTCTTTTTTTACAGTTCTCTAAAAGAAAGAAAGTTAATCTAATCTCAAAGAAATATTGGATATATCTTTTTCCTGAGAAAATACAAATTTAGACACAAGAACAAGTGACCAGATGGACATTGAGAGGGTAAAAGCAGATTCTGTACCACATGATGCCCTGTGTGAAACTTTGCAGTGTCCGACTATCGAATTTAGATACTATTTTTAAAATCAGGAACATCCCTCGATTTTAATTCGAGCATTGTTGAATCGAAGATCGTTTACTGCCTCTATCCTTAAGTGGTCAAATGTAAATAGTATCGAATGACACTGTAGATGAAAAAGCATCACTACGGAAGCCGAGAACATGAAAAGAAAATAAATAACCAGGTGAACATTTCAAAATTAATACAAGAAATACTTTTAATATAGTTTTTTTTTTTAATTTTTATCAATCTTTTTGATATGAATGATACTTCAGTGTAAAAATCGAAATTGAAATTTGGATTGATATTGGAACAAAAAAATGATTATTATTAATTTAGATTAAATTTTAAACAATTTATAATATGTAGATTAACTCTTTTCATACAATTATTCCAATTACAAACAATTCACTAATGGTGAGTTTTAGAATAATATCAAAAATGTGTGTATTATTTAAAAAAAAAAAATCCATTTTTTACATATTTCTGCAATCATCCAAATTTTCTTAAATAATAGAAATCAATACTTAAAATCCATCAACATCCTATGCACTTATATCATAGAATTTGCCATTCCATCTTTTCCCTTTTCACCTTTTCACTTTCAAAAGAAAATAAAAAAAAAAGTTATTTCATTTTCAGCTGGATCAATTCAGATTCTTCCACATACAACGATATACATAATCATGGTCATAATAGTTCAGAAAAAAGGAATACGATTCCCACAGTCCGGTTGACACATCCACCGTGTCATCCTGCACTTATGTATACCTGGTTCGCCACGCAGGTGATCTGCAATACCAGAAGATTCAGTTTTCAGCTATGTTACGAAATTCTCGATCACTTATACACTCCCACGGTTGGATTTTCATCTATTCAAATATGGACGATTCTTGGCGCAACGATCAACGTGCATTCCGAAAGGAGTGAGTTCGAGGATAGATCCCACGGTTTACGCGTATGCACACACCGTGGTCCATCCTTTTTCCCCTTAAAATTGCATCCCTCAATGGACATTTCACAGTTTCCCAGGTCGAGCCAGGTAACACGATCGGAATCGATATTTGAATGGACGTTTACATAAGAGGCCACGCATCTCTTCGTTTACCTGAGAATGGTAAAGGGTTACGCCAATCTTTTATTAAATCTTCACCCCCATGAAATGGAGATTGTGATGGATAGATCTTCTCTGGTGTAGTGACAGTCCTATTATTTGGAATTCAATAATGAATTTAGGTAAATTATGTTGTGTATTTATATTGGAAATTTTGATTTATAAATTTTTTAATTTACATTTTACCTATCTAATTTATATCCTAAAATGATATCTAGAAATATCATTGATTCTCTAATGTCTACATTTTTTTAACAGATTATTACATTAATTATAAAAACTTTATCTAAGAATCAATTGCCTTCCAAAAATAAATAATTTTTATATTTTCTAACTTTTATTGTAAATTGGTTCTATTATGCAAAGCTAGTCGGTTGAAATAATGATCAATATCGATTTCAGTTGTACGAAAAAAAAAATTCCACGAATCTTCTATATAATATCTTTAATAACAAGTTCTCTCCATTTTCCAGCTACTCCTGAACAGACGAATGACTTCACAGATTAATCGCGGATCTCCGTCGATGTCTTTCGAGATCCGTTTCCCCTTCGAGATCGATGAAAATCCTATTACAGGACAACGTTCTGTGTATCGAGGAGCTTGGTAATAATACGATCCATTCGAAATACCCTTTACGAAAACGTTAGGAGGAACGATCGCCGGTCCGGTGGAGGAAAGAATTACGTTTTGAAAATGATTGGAAACCGGCTGAAAGGCCCCTGTCCATTCTGAATGCTAAGCTGCCTAATTTCATCCCTCGGTGTCTAGATAGTATTTCATCTTCTGGCAAATCCCTGGAACAGGTAAAAATGGGGGTGAACCGTGGCGATCGATGTTCCCACGCTTCGGGTTGCAAAACATCGATGAGCCGGTGAGCGATGCACCCTGAACATGTTATTTTCAAGGGAAACTGTTGCGTGCACCGTCCACTCATATCCGGTTATGGACCACAGTGTTGAACTTGAGTAACATATGCGTGTATTCACCTGGTTTTTCACGTTTTCGATTTTTCCACGAAATATTTTTATGAAATTAAGAATTGTTTAAGGATTTTCTTTTGGATAAATTTAAAATAAAATCAACAAAAAATTCAGAAATTTCTTCTGATTTGTAAATTAATTAATAAGAATCTAACATTCTTATAATTAATTTCATTATAACTATGTACAAAATGTATAATTCATAGAAAATAGTACATAAGAAAATATGTGTATAATGTTATACAGAAGTGATTTATATTTTTTCATTTTGCAAAAATGATCTTTGCTTTGTGAAGTATTTTTATAAATACCTTGTCCAAGACATGATACTATCAGAAATATCGAAATCCGCATCGAGATTACATCTGGAAAATCGAAAACCGACTTCCCACGTCACACAGGTAGAATTCAGCTGGACCGCAGGATTATATTTCACAATTAACAAATATAATATTACTCAACCCACGTCCTACTTGACCATTTCTTGGTGACGGAATGAAACGAGCTTTTCCGGCCTTTCCCTCGCCTTTCGACGAGGTAAAAACCGGGCAACGATTGCGTAAATACTGAGAAACTGGTCGACCCATCTATAAGAAGTCCAAATATCAAATTTCTCGTCCGAATAATCGTTTGTGGACATAATAATACGCTATTTTTTTTTTTTTTTTTAAATCTGCTCCTCATACAAAAACTAAATTCAAAGCTATTTCAAAATGGATCTATTATGATCAACATTAGAGAAATTTTTCTTTCTTTTTTTTTATCTATTATCTATTCATTATCTATTTAAATAAATTTGTAGAAATATAAAAAGGATTTTGATTGTAAGGAAAAATTAAAATAAACAATTCATAAACGTTAACGAGTATGCTGGATCTGGTTTAACAAGATATTTATCAATGTAAAAGCATTATACTGGTTCAATTTGACAAGTATTCAAATTTATTCCATTTTGACTAATGAAATTTAAAAGGAGTATTTCAAGATTTTTTCTTTTTATATCTTGTTATGGAATGTTTAAAATTATAAAACGGTTTAAGATTTTTAAAATTACTAAAAATTTTTACATAATTTCTGTATAATATATCTGGAATTATCTGAAGTTCCATAATCTCAAGTTAAAGAATTAAAGAAAAAACCTAAAAGTCTGTTAATTTTTTTCGAATAAACTATTTTTATATATCTATTAAACTTACTGATTTGTATTCCAAAATATTTATTATTTTTAATAAATGAAATGAAATAAAATTTAAAGAAAGTTCGATACACTTTATTTATAACATAATAAAATATCTCTATTAACGCAAGTGCCAAACTAGAAATATTTCCATCTAACTAAGTATAAGAATTCTTTCTTTTCTATCCAAAAATTTTCTGCTAATCTTTTCATAGTTCTAATCCATTGTCATTCTTTTTCCCCATTTTTTGTCCACATTTTGAGCAGATAAACCCGTTCGTATATCCAGGTATATACAAAATCTTGTAGAATTCCATTGATCACAGGTAAAGGGTAGACAGAGTGATTATACCACATAATGAGGGCGATGTTGTTTCTACGGTAGAAAAATTGTTGTGTCGTCCTTTGTCATTTATTTTTGCCATTTTACCTGTTATTCATTACCAGCTGATATCACCAATCGTAAAATTTGAAAACATAATTAGGCAGACAGACAAACATTCTATTCGAAAAGTTTTTATTATTCTGAAAATGAAAACAGATTTATACAAACATTATTTAGGTATTTCAATTCATATCTTCTATGTTATTTATTTGTTTTTGCTTCTTTAATGGTTTTGAAATATATTCCATTATTCAGATTCTCCTGATAGTAGTTTAGACTTAATTCTTATATCTAGTTTTCTTAAATCCTCTTTAAGTCCTATCTAATATAAATTACGATAGTTTTATAGCTTTATTATAATATAATTATTTTTATCAAATTTGAAAATATTATATTGAAAATATGAAGGAAAAAAAATAAAGGGGAAAATATCAATTTCAATATGAATTTTATATTTAACATTTCTGCTATGTATTCTGTGTATCTTTTTATTATTGATTATTATGCATTAATATTTTGTTTAATTTTACAGCTATGAAAAATTAAACGTATACAATGAAAAAGTGGAAAATATTGAGAAATATGTAAAATTAAAAATGAAAAATGAAAATGATGCAGAATAAAATAATTTTAATATATAAGAAAATACAAAATTGTGACATTATGTTGAAGAATAAAATAAAACTTGGATAGTAGAATAAAATTGGAAAACTGGAATAAAATCTTCTTTTAATAATTGTATCACAAATATTTTGTTATTCGAAAATATTTTTATTATACGAATTTTTAAATTTGCACAAGATTTTCCCGTAAACAGGATATCCTGAATAAATCTTGAGGACATACTTACAAGCATTCCTACGTGAATCCACGAATTTCGATTCCAACGAATTTTTGTACCATCTTTCAGGGAAAGAATCCGATCTCAGAAATGGTTTTCCGTGTGTCGAGAGGAATGGAGCTTTGCAACTCTTTAAGCCTCTCCCACGGGACTGCGTCATGTCCCCGGAGACGGCGAACAAAACCGGAACATGACTCGGGGAATGTTAAAGGATTACTAAACCGTTTCAACTTCGTGCAGGGAAATCTGTTCATTTTTGCTTATCCAATAGGAAGATCGCTAACTGATCATCGAATGATTATTGGTATTTTGTAACCTACACAAAGATTTTTAAAAGATTAATTTCCTTTGTGAAAATTTTTATATTTGAAATAATATTTGAAATAATATTTTTAATAAGTAAGTCTTTAACATTATAAAATTCTTAATCTTGATATGTGAATTTTTTTTTTTTGAATTTTCCAAACGATGAATTTTCGATTTTAACAATGAAGAAATTATTTGTAATATATCAATATCTCATTGAAATTATATTCAAGGATTACACTAATATTATTGTATGCCAGAAGTATATATAGTTGTTGCTCATTCAAGTCAATTAAATAAATGGGTTGACTACTTTTTAATCGACAATTCAAGAAAGCTAACTACAATGCAAATTCGTGTTCAGAAATTTCAAATTAACAATACTCGACAATATATGTAGAAGTCAAAATAATAGACTGCATTGATTATCATTTAGTTTCTATTTAATATAGGATATTTTAGGTTAGTTTACATTAATTAGAATTACATTATTTTTCAATAATTGAACTTTATTTTATTTTATTTTAAAAAAATTGCGTGAAAATTTATTTATCTATTTATCACTTGAAGATTCGAAACAATATTGTTTAATGTATTGCATTATTTAGCCAATGATAAAGAAAAAGAAATGTTCCTACACTTATTTTACTTGTAATTATTTTTACTTGTAATTATGTAGTGTAATTATGTAGTGTATTATGTATCCATAATTAATAAAGAAAATTATATTAGAGATGAGTGCTAACCATTCCAAGGATTGAATTTTAAAATTTTTTTATAAAAAATTAATGAATATGAATCGATTTTAGGATGGAAAAAAATTAAATCGTCATAGAAAAAATATATATAATAATACGTGGAATAGAATGGCATTACGTGAAAAAACAAAATAAAATTTTTCAATTTTGTCGAAAATAAAATCTCAAATGAAAAAAAAAATTTTTTTTTTTCAATTTATCTTTATACATAAAATTATTCTATAACATTCCATTCAATTTTGTAACACGTTACAAATAATATTGCTTATAAATTTTTTCCCATTTTCATAATCATTTAATAAAAAAAAAAAACAAAAAAGTTATCTTTGAATCTATTCATTTTAAAAGCGTTAAGCTGAATTGAAAGCAAAAACCGTTCCATTTTTAATTTTCGATAAGTTGATTTTATTTCGACAAGAACTTTGGAGGAACTTGTCATAAAAATCAAGCATAAGATTCCAACGGATTTACGATTTTCTATTATCCACCATAGAAAAATGTTTTTGCCATCGTTATTTTTGTGCTGTAATATGGTACCAGCTTTCATAAAAATAGGATTAACAAGTAAATTTCGTTAATCGCACAATTCTATTGTTTTTCAAATTTCCATCAATCTTGTAAATCTTTTTTTTTTGATGGATATATCAGACTGTAATATTTTTTTGTAAATATATGATGCTACAAATTTGGAGTTAGATATAATATAACAATAATATAATATATAAATATAATATTCGTATTATTATGAAATCTTAACCTATACTTCGAAAAGACACCGATCAACACGAAATTTAAAACGAGTGATTTTAGAAACAGACTTAAAATACAACATTTTCGAGCATTTTCAAATTGTTAATGGAAAAACTTAATTATTAATAAAAAAAAATTTTAGTTTCTCAATTGTTAACTTCTTACCTTCCAAGTAATTTGACTATACATTAATAGTTAATTCCAAAGATATTTCTTTTTATATGCCTATAAATAATAAATTATGACTAGTAGACATTAGAACTAGCTTTTAAGTACCTGATCAATACTAAGCTGACCTAAGGATTTAGCAAAAAAAACCTTTTCACAAAGTACATTGATCTCTGTCTTTGACATTCTCAATATAACTTCCTACAACACTCATCGTCTTCGATTTCATTTCCGCCTCGAATTTCACGCTTAATATTCATCTTAATCCTATTTCAACCAAAAACTTTTCAAAGATTAAGGGATTTTCACACGTACACGCGTAATTCCTGTCAATGTTTTGCCCGGTCTAGATAGACGTATGCTCGGTGATTTCTCTTACGAGAAAGGGACGAAGAGAAGGTGAAATGACGAAGGGTGCAAATATTGTGCACCGTTGTCGCAATATTATCGTTTCGAAAAGACGCACACACCAGCTCGGGCCACGCTTTATACTCGTGGGTTCGCTTGCAAACAGATAACGTGCGACCCCGAGTGGTTTACCGGCTAGTCCTGTTTGGCTTACGGCTTACGAAGATATCCCACCACCTCCAGGAACACGCGTTGCTTGTATAGGATCATCATAGGAGAAAACTCGCGAGGTATCCGAAATGTATATATTTTGGATGAACTCGTTCCACGTATTTCTAGTCTCACAACTGATTTCGAGATCTGATCTTCCGTACGTAGATACCGAATCTTTCGATGTACGATGCTATGTTCGTTTGCAAAAAGAAGACGAAGTACATTTGCGTCTCTGTTAGAAGTTTCTATGCGCTTTAGATGTGCGCAGTGTACTTTGAAACGAAGTAGCTACGAGGTTATTTTTCTTTGTTGTAAATTAATGCGCAGTTAGATTGATAAATTTTTTATGTGAATTGTGCATATATTATTGCATAGATTGTGTTATTCAATACTTCTCAGGATCAAGTTCAAAAATAATAAAATAAAATAGCGATTATTTAATATTTTTTGTGTTTCAAATCATCTAACGAGATATATATTATATGCGAGAAATTTTCGTCTTTGTGGCGAAAAAATGTGCAATTCGATAATTTATAAAAATTTGTAAAATCGAAATATAATCAATCACTAAATCAATGATTTTGAAACGAAATAGTTATGAGGTAACTTTTTTTTATTGTAAATTAGTACAAGGTTAGATTTATAAATTTGCTGTATCATGTTCGAAGCGCAAGATTGCACAGATTAATATTCTGCACTTCTCAGAATCAAGCTAATAAAATAAAATAGCGAGTATTTTTTGCGTTTCAAATTTTCTGTATTAGGAAACAAGAGAAATTTTCATCTTCGTGGTAAAAAGATGTGCAATTCATAGAAATTTATATTTTAAATCGAAGTATAATCAATCAATAAATCGATGTTTTGTCTAAAAAATTAAGAATAAAAGAATGAAGAAAGAACAAAATTGGACATTAATCCATTGAAAAAATAATTAAATCTCGAATAAAATTACTTTAATAATTACTATTTAAATAATTAGTAAAATGACTTAAATAATTTATTCATAGCTATTATGCTTAATTCGCTTTTCACATAACCTCAACTATTTGGCATTACAATTATTTGCAATTATTATGTTTTGAACAATAAATTATTAAAGTAACTTATGAAAATAACTTTATTCAACTATTAAATTTTGCCCATCACTGAAAAAGAATCTATAGAATATACATTTTTCAAACAAATAATTGAATTTTTGTCAAAAATTCAATTTATCGTTACAATTTAATTTCTGGTTTTTCAGTTCAACTGGAGATCGGTATCGTGTCAACTTCTACGAAAGAACAAAGAGATTTTCTCTAGAATGGAAGAAATAGTTTTTAAAGTCGACCTTCATACTCCAGAAAAATGTTAAACCATGCGACAATTTCCTAGACACCAGTTGATACATCGTGGACCTTTTTCTGTTTTCCATAATACCCGTGAAAATCTGGAGCAGTCCCGTTTCTTTTTCCTTTGCATACCTTTGACCATTTCTATGGGAATTACTCCAGTGATTTGTTGCTTCTGTCGTGGAAATCGAAAAACAGAATACGAACATGGAATATCACCCATCGACGCGATATGGCTTGTTTGTATATTTCGACACTCGGAATGAAGATGGGATTTGTATCGAGAATCGATCGATATCGCTACAATGCTCTCAATATTGTGGAAACAATTCTAATGTTTCGTAAATCTTGTAAAGATTTAAAAAAGATATCGTAATAAAATGTTAAATAAAAAATCTGGAGAAATTATAGCGTGATAGATTTAAGAGACCATTGCTATATAAATTTTGATCACGATATCAATTTTGATATTTGCAAAGAAATAAATGATAATCGTAATAAAGAAAAAAGAAACAAAAGGAATAAAATATTTAAAAATTTCTTAAAAATTGAAACAACCCAAAGTTTCACCATATCGAAGACTCTCTATCTCTTTTTCTCCATGTTTCGAGTCCTTTCTTTTTGGTTAAACAAACGAAAGAAAAGAAATTTCTTTCTTTAGGAAATATTTTATGCGTGCACCGAATTTTTGAAAACCGGTAAAGAACAGAATCGCATTGAACACGAGGGTGAAAGTACAAGTACCGAAAAGACAGTTAGGTCAGTATTGGACCCTCATTGTTCCAAATATCGCTAAAATACGAAAAGCATAAAGTCATAAACCGCATTTTAACATTTTTCAGTTTTGGTTCGTAGGATCCCTTCGTCCGCACACCTCGAACGAGAAGCATGCAAATACGACGGACTCGTCAAAGGGACGAAGAGTCATTCGAAAATATATAATTCAGACCGTAAATGGCCCTCTTACGGACTGGTAAAACGGTTAACTTTTAACGTGACCGGCTTAGGTATGGAACCTTGGAAAGCGTAGTTTCCATGCGAAAGGAAAAAGAAGCGACGAAAAGTGTAGGACAGATCGCATTATCCTTTGATAAAACGACTTCTTGGCGGGCTAAAGGTGGCGGAGGGGAGAGAGAAGGGTGAAGGGAAGGAGGAAAAATGCGAAACTCGTTATTAAGAAAACGAATCATAATGGAAGGTGCTTGAAAGATTGATGGGACAAAGGACGAGGAGATAGAAGTTGGTGTAAAAGTTGGCTCTCTGTATAATTTTATACAGGGCCTAAGAATCAGGATGAGGCTGGTGTTAAACGTTCCGTTTGATCGATGTGAATGTTGAAGAATAAAATTTCTTAACGGAATTTTTAAGGTTGGTTTAAGGAAGAAATCGGCAAATGTGCATTTATATATAAGATATATTAAGAACTTTATTCTATTTTATTGTATTTTAATCACGCTAGGAAGAGATACAATAAAGAGAAAAAAGAAAAGTGAATTCAAAGAAAAATACGTGTGTACATGTTTATGAGCAATAACAATTCGACGTCTATAAAACAGAGAAGAAGAGTCATTTGTTATGTCCCTGAAGGCCCAATCATCACCGCCATATAAAGAAAGAGAACGAAAACTTCGACTGGTCTTTGGAGAAAAAGAAAAAAAAGGAAAGTATTCACCCCGTACACCCTTTCGATCGTTTCGAACAGCAATAAAACAGCAGTAGCATAGATATATCCTCGATGTTATGTCATCGATTGGAAATATCAAACCGTTCCACGAATCTCGTTACCGCATCGAGGAGTAATGACCTTCCTATCAAAAGGAGCATTGGAAGATTCCATTTCGCGGAGAGTCCATCCCCCTATCCATTGTATTAAAAATATTTTATGTAGGAACAAAAAGAGGAGGAAACGAGAAGAGAATGAATTCTAAGAGGGAAGAGAAGAAGAAGAAGAAGAAGAGGAAATGTGTGGTTTTTGCTTTTCCTAGGACGTAACGCCGCGCTTTATGATTACGAACGCCCGTGAACGGGCATCGTGATCCTCGTTACGACCTCGTAAAGAAACCTTTTAAGGTGTCCACTCGGACCTTTCACTCGGACCTAGCTTCGATCGACGCTTCACGTAGATGGCGCACGTCTATTTTTAAGATTAAATTTGAAGGTTTAAAGACACTAAAATTATTTATTCGATGCACATGAAATATATATATATTTTTTTTAATAAAATTTCTATCATTCGTATATTTATAACTTATATGAAAGTAAATTGATTTTTTTACCATTCGCAGCGTCAAAAAATGAGATATTGATTTTCGATGAATAAAATGGCGAAAAATAGAACGGAAATCCAAAATGGTTGTGTATACTGAGGATGACACTCTACTTATAAAGAAACGTCAGATACGTAAGAAAACTCTTTTTTATCTTTTTTACAAAAATTCATACGTCATAAACTAGAAAGTATATACGTTTACTGTATTGAATATAATCTCAGAATTGCTCTTAAAATCAATCTATCAAAAAAGAAAAATATTTCTCATTCACAAACGATTCATTTCTCACGCGAAAATTCCCCTTCTTCAAGCTTCCATTTCCATTTCCAACGGAAGGATCTCGAAGAATTTCTACGGCCAACGCATAATTCTTTCGTAATACCGCGATAAACCGAGAGGGGGTGAGTGTTTCTCTCCAAAGACTTGTCAAAATAATGTTTGTCTAGCACGAAAGCCTCGGTAGCGAAGGCACAAGCTTTGTCGGCCTGACGCTCGTCGCCGGGACGCGCTCCACCCACGTCAGTTATGAGAAGTTATGGCTGTTATGATTGTCATGTTTTGTCAACTCCTTTGTCAACGACAAAAGGGCTGGCAGCGGGAGGATCATGAGCTTTTCGACAGCCGAACCGTTTGCCGCGTTTTGCGGCAAGGTCGGCCGAATAACCGGGCAGAGTTGGAGCACAAA